TCTCTTTAATTTTAAATTTTAATATTATATTATATTTTTTTAATTATTTTTATTTGGCCCACGGGCCGGCCCTACCTATATTTCTCAAGCCCCACAAATCAGCAGGCTTATTCAGGCCGGGCTAAAAAGCCCTTTTTTTAAATGGGCTTCAAAAATCTTAGCCCAACCCTATTAAATCTCGGGTTAGGCCAGGCCGGCCCAACGGGCCTAGCCCATATTGACGGTTCTAGTTTTTTTAGTTAAAACCAAACCAACCCAAATATAATCGGATTTTTTTTTCAATACCAACCCAAGTTAGTTGGCAATTTTATTTGATGATCAGTTTATTCATATGTGTTTTTTGAATCAAGATCGAGGGACTATGAGTTTAGTTTCCAACTCACTAAACTGTTTGTCTATATGACTTCAGAATAGAGGATATTCACGTTTTCGTCCCTACTTCCAGAGCTTTGGACCATAACATTCCAAATTGGAGAAACAAATTAAAAAGACTCTTATTTTATCAGTAGGATAATACTTATTTTTTAGCCACATTTTTTCATCAATCTTCTGCACTACTAATGAAGAAAAAGGACTACATTTTGTGTGAATTATAGAAAGTTGAATGAATTTACCATCAAAAACAAATATTCAATTCCAATTATTTACTTGTTAAATTACGAATGAACAATGAACGCAATTAAATAATTTAATAAATAAATTTTAAAAGCTCGATCAAACATGTTAATATTAATCTGAACAAAGAAAAGTGTTCCTAATAATACTACTCAATTATTGCCCTAAAAAAATGGGGAAAAATATTGTAATGCATTAAATATTAGATAATGTAGACCCACCATTATATAAATTGACTGTAAATTGGAACAAAATGTATGAAAAGGTTATCAAATTCCAGGTATTTGATCTCATCCTATTATAAATTAATATTTGTCCCAGATATTCGTGGGATAACAAAATAATTAATACACATGCAATGTATCTTCAAGAAAACACTTGAAATTATTTAATAAATTTCCTTAACTTCTTGAATTGTATTGATTAGATGTGATATGAAAAAGAAAAAAAACACATATATAATAACACTCACAACTCTTTTGCACCCTACCTAGCTATATTATGATATTTTACTTATTTCACAATTTTATTCTTTTAGTGTTTTCTATTTCTACTTGAGCAAAAAAATGGTATAAGTTTCTGTAGAGCCGTCAATATGGGCTAGGCCCGTTGGGCCGGCCTGGCCTAACCCGGGATTTAATAGGGTTGGGCTAAGTATTTTTGAAACCCATTTAAGAAAAGGGTCTTTTAGCCCGGCCTGAATAAGCCTGCTGATTTGTGGGGCTTGAGAAATATAGGTAGGGCCGGCCCGTGGGCCAAATAAAATAATTAAAAAATATAATATAATATTAAAATTGAAAATTAAAGAGAGTCCAAACTCAAAATCTATTTAATATTTAACTAATTGAAACCGCATATAAATTGCAGATGAAAATGAAGATGTTAAGACAACCTTGCTACAAGATGATTCGGATATGCTTGATGAAGATGATCATGAAGTGTTGGATACGCCATAGATTTCATGATGTGTTAGATAGGAATATTGTCACATTTTTTGTGTTTTAATGTGACAAAACAATTAGGTTAATATTTCTATTTAGATATTTATTAATGTGGATTTGATTAACAAGTAGTAACATTAACACCATGTAATATTGTTTTGTCGATATTTATGATAATATTTTTAAATTATAATTTATAATTTATTTTAATAATTATAAAAAAAATATAATTTTAAAAAAAGTGGGCTGACCCGGCAAGCCTGTAGCCCACATACTTGTGGGCTGGGCCGACCGTTTTCTGGCCCACACCAAAAATGGGCTAGCCCGGCCTAACCCGTAAAATGTCAAAGCCTGTATGGGTTAGCCCGGATGGGGTGGGCTAGCCCATATTGACAGCTCTAAGTTTCTGAAAGGAAAAAAAGAAACTTTATTAAAGAGGTACTCCCTCCGTTTCACAAAGAATGACCTGGTTTGACTTGGCACGGAGTTTAAGTAAATAAAGAAGACTTTTGAATCTTGTGGTCCTAAATTAAAGTTATGTCAAATGTACAAAATTGCCCTTAATCTTGTGGTCTTAAACATGTCACGTGGAAAGCAAAAAGTAAAATATTACCAAAATAGGATAGAGGTCATTCTTTTTTAAACTGACTAAAAAGGAAAGGAGGTCATTCTTTGTGAAACGGATGGAGTATTTTTTATAATCTTGTTGACTGAAAAAAACTAGGCACGAAAATCAGCTTTTATTATCTCTTTCTCTCTATATATATAAAGCGTAATACAACTTTGTCCATTGCATTCAAGGGCATTGCTTAGTGAATAATGAAGCGAAAAGAAAATTACTATATCTCAATTAAAATTTTAATAGGGGAAAAAGTATATATTAAGTGCTTTTTTTTTCATTTTTAAAGTTTTAATAGGTAAAATTACTTGATATATATATTAATGAAAAATATAAAATAGCGGTTGAAATATCTAACTTGCTTACTTAAGCATCATAGTCATAAAATAAATTAAGAATCTTTGGCAGCTAGGAAGTTTATTCCAATTTAGATGCAAATGACTAACCAAAATACAAGACCAAATAAAACAAAGAGACAACCTCACAACTAAACTTGTCAAATGTCAACTGACCCGGATCAGCCCAGACTTAGCTCATTAAACTCGATAAAGCCCGATTCAGCCCGACCCAATTGGGGGTGTTTGGTGGGAGGGAGTCCAGACAAGGGTCTGGGCCGGTCAGGCCAGCTTGGAGTTCGATCAATTTGAAATTAGAAAAATCTCACATTTTGGTTTACTTATTACCATTATCTCCTATAAGTATTACAAATCTCCAAAATTCCTCATTTTCGCGCATCAGATTAATGTATCAACGCTTATATTATTGTATCTCGCGCATCAGATTAGTGTATCATGTATAAAATATAATGTATCTTATTTAACGGTTAAATGTATCTCGCGCATCAGATTAAATGTATCAGCGCTTATATTATTGTATCCGTTTGAAGGATTTCTGTAATTATAATTTTTTAAGGGATAGATTGTAATTTTACCTTAAAAGTATGTGATTTCTGTAATTTGCCCTGCATTTTAATCTGTTGATCATAACTTACTTTTTAGATAATCTAATGATATAAATACTATTCTACGCTCTGTCAACATCTATTAAGTATTAAAAGAGTGAAGCTAAATAAATTAAAAGGCTAGTGTGAAAGCAAATGGTGGGACCAGAAGCGTAGATAATTTTATTTTTAGTTTGTTTTTACCCTCCCTAGGAGCTCCCACCCCTTTTGCTTTCTTGGTGACTTAAACTCGCAACCTTCGGGTTGAAAGTGGGGGCGCAGCATGAATTATATAAAGTATCTTCAGAAGAATATACAAGAGTTGGATAATACAAGAAAAAATATTATTTCATTGGATGATCAAAACAAAAGTTCAACAATTATTCATACTTTTCAGCAAAATAATAATTGTCACATTGAATAAATGTGAAGATGGTATGGAGATTTTGATTAATGTCAATAATAGCCATAAAGAGGAAATATTTTCTTTGTCCAGAAGCGTAGATATGAATAGGTACCATTAATTAAAAAATATAATAAACAATTAGTGTATTATATATCTTCTTGTTTATGAAGATATTAGGGAGATCTCAAAACCCTAACTAACGTATCTTCTTCTTTATCATCTTTCAATTAAAATACCAAAAAGAAGATCTCAAAATATATCCATTAGAGCATAATTAGTTCAATGGACAATAATTATCTTTGGGAGATCTTCACTAATAACAAACAAAATATTAGTGAAGATCATGTTGATCATCACCACCACCTACTTCAGATTCAGATTCCTAATTTCCAATTAAATGGATTTTCCCAACAAGATAATCAAGATCTCATAAAGGATCATGTTGGTTCGTCAGTTATTACGTCTCAATTCCAAACAAGTTGTGATCAGCTATATAAATCTTCAACCGTCAGCACAAATACTTCAATTATTACGCCTCAACTCCAAACAAGTAGTGATTGTTTATGTAAATCTTTATTCAGTACGAAAAGTACAATTACGCCTCAGTTCCAGACAAGTTGTGATCGGCTGTATAAATCTTCAGTCAACAGAAGTAGTACATCAATTATTACGCCTAATCAACTCCAGACAAGTTGTGATCGACTATATAAATCTTCAGTTAATACTGAAAGTACTAATCTTGATAGGACTAAGGAGGGGTTAAGAAGTCATGATGAATCAAATAAGCTCAAGAAAGTTGTGCATAGAAATATTGAAAGGCATAGAAGACAAGAAATGGCAAATCGTGTTACTTCTCTAAGATCTCTAATTCCCATTGAGTTCATCAAGGTGAGATAACTACTCCTTCCCTATTCACGTTTACTTATCCACTTTAGACTTTGACGTTACGTTCCTTAAGAAACAATGATTAATATAGGTATTTTATGATAAAATTCATATTAATTGATGTATACTCTTTGGTCTCGAGAAATGATTTGGGAATAGTTAATTAATATTAAGGTAAAAAAAAATGTTTTTACTTGATATGTTAAAGTGACAAGTAAAAGTTAAAATTTATTTTGGAATACTAGACATACTTTCATTTTCCTCTCCCCTTTTCCTTATAATATTTATTTTTTTGAAAAAAAATGTTGAATATATGATCATTGAGAAAAGAAAAAAAAAGGTTTCCAAGATTAAGTATATATATCAGCTTGTGTTATATATTAATTTTAGTTTCTCTATATGTCTTTCTTTCTATAATTGTGGAAGGGTTTTATTGAGGAAAAAATTAAAAGAACTTTTGCATTGATAATATAAATTTTTACATTATCAGTATAATTTAGCATGTTATTTATCATTTTTTATCAATGCTTACTACTAAAATTATTTGCAATTACCTTCTAAATGACTTGACTGTATAAATATTTTTTACCTTGTCCGTGCACAGACCATGAACATTTTTATTTTTAAATTATAATATGATGTGAATTTTTGTTGTAAATATAGGGTAAACGTTCAGCATCAGATCATATGCATGCAGCTGTGAATTATATAAAGTATCTTCAGAAGAATATACAAGAGTTGGATAATACAAGAAAAAATATTATTTCATTGGATGATCAAAATAAAAGTTCAACAATTATTAATACTTTTCAGCAAAATAATAATTGTGTCACAGTGAATAAATGTGAAGATGGTATGGAGATTTTGATTAATGTCAATAATAGCCATAAAGAAGAAATATTTTCTTTGTCAAAAGTGCTGAGATGGCTACTTGAAGATGGGCTAAATGTGGTTAGTTGTGATAATTCCAAACAAGATGAAAGGACTTTAATCAGGATCCAATGTCAGGTAAGAAACATTTAAGACATAAATTATATATTTCAATATTGCAAATAATAGTTTGGTTATTAGTATTTGATATACTAGTACAATATACTCTTTTTGTTTTAATTTATACTACTAAAAAACAATGGAATTAATAAGAACTTCGTCACTGGTTCATCGTTATTTTGCTTGTAGATAATGAAAATATATCGTTAATACGTCGCTAAGTAAGATTAGCAACGAATTTTTCTGTTTAGCTACAAAAATTTATTTGTCGCTAAATCCTGTTTTTTAGTTGTTATGTGTTTTATTTAGTTTTCTTTTTTGTCTATTGAAAAAATATCACATTTTTAACTCAAGGCTTTCATTCTACCTTAAATGGCTTTAGATATAGAAATAGCATGACAATTGAGATGTTTCATACGACAATATTCAAAAGATAGTTATGATATGTTATACTAGCATAAATGATTATAGTTTAACATTACAAGATAACAATCCCAAAACAAGAATTCTAGACTTAGCTTGAAGACGGTAATCTTCCAAATATTCTTTTTAACTTCAAATATTTTATTTTATTTTTTCACTTTAACCAAAAATTTGTCCAAATCTATAGTAAATGCACAGAATGAATACCCCATGAGTACTTGGTTTAGGGTTCTTATCCAAGTTTTCTCATTTACCGCCAAATCTCTATAACAATCATTCTTTATAGTAATAATATTTCAGTATAACAACAAAAAAATTGAAAACAGTTTTTTATTTTATATTATATTATATGTTCTCTAAAATAACCAAAAAAAAATTATCTGAATCAACGAGGCCATTATAATTTATAAAGAATTTTTGTGTTATATACCTTTAGAATCAAGGAGACAACATGTTGTGCTCATTTATAAGGAATATAATTACTCTTCAAATAAATTAATTAATCATTTTCTTGCAGGTGAGTGATATATCATCAGGTCTCACTGTAGTTGGGCTGCAAAAGAAACTGACTGATGTGATTAATTAGAGCAGAAAAAAAAGGGCGGATTCAGAATTTTAAATTTGGTGCGTTCAATTTTCAAAATTCTTAGCACTGATTTAGCTATATTTTTGAAGTCATGAGTTCAATAACTATATTCCTTATCATTTGCTAAATTTTCATAGTTTTCACGTATGTATGTAACTATGTATCTATGTTTCGTGTTAAAAATATTGGATTTGATTCATAATCTACGTGTGTACGTTTAGTCAGTGGCGTATCCAAATACAGGTTTGCGGGTTCAACAAAGAATCAGATCGAGATTCTAAATTAGTTTTGTATATATGTGTGCGAAAATTATAAGTATGTGATCGTTAATTAGATATGTCGCTTTTTAAACTTATAAATCAATAGCTAGCACCTAAATTCTGAATTCGTCACTATTGTATTTAGTTTGTCAAGGTGAGGACTTTGCACTCAAAAAGTATTCAGTTGAACACCCTTTGTCAAAAAAACATAATGTACATTTAGAAAGTTTATAATGTGTATATATAGAGAGAGATCAAAAATCTTGAAAACTCTTGACAATATTCTTGATCTTTCCACTCATGCACCCTTAGGGCTCCTTTGGTATATGGGATAAGTAATTTCTGTATTAATTTTAGGATGAATTTATTTCATGTTTGGTTGGGGATAGAATTACGGGATAGCTTTTTCGGAACTGTTATGTCATTTTTATCTCACATTGGAAGTATGGGAACTAATATCAAGACAACTTGTTCGTCAATCAAACGTTCCCTTAGTGTTATGTGTGTTAGTATTTGGACCTATTGTCGCATGCAGTTTTTTTTTTATTATAAGGACTTGATTTTAGTGCTAAAAATTATTGAGAGCATCTTGCTAAAAGTAAGACACCTCCTAGCTGGCTAACGTCTTTGCTTGCTTGTAAAGTTATATGACACCAACTTTGTCTCTTAGAATTATTTGATTGCATAAGATATGGGCATATGAATAATTAGTGGTGTACGTTTGGCAAGCAGTGTCGATATTTGAAGAAGTGAACAACTCAATAAATTAAATCACTATAATGATAAGCGGTGTCATTTGCTATATTTATATTCCAATATTTTCATTTGGTACCAGCTATCGCGACCTGTTTGCACGTAACATAAGCTTATCGTGTGTTGCTTGAATGAAACATGTTTGTTTGAATTCTTGAACTTTTTCGCCTTCTGTATGTGTATGGTCTGCTATTGTCATCGTCTACAAAACCTTCTACCCCGAAAAAGCTTCTAGTTGCATAACAAACATGTGAAATGACACAAAATACATGTCTTAGATAATTTTTCTGAACTCTATATGTTGCTCAGACTCTCCCCAAAATTGTTGCAGCGCCCTTGTCCGGTCCTCCAAAAATGTGCTACTTTTGGAGGACCCGATTTTAAAGAGTCCGAGCAATATAAGATATGATATCTCATTTCAGATTAAGATTGGTTCTGAACCAGCAATTGCAGACATCTTTCAATTCACACAGAGACGCTTAAAAAAAAAAAAACTATCAGGTGGTCATTACAATACAGAGGAAAGAGGACTAGGCCCCTGGAGGATTTTCAGGGACTAGGGAAGACGGGTGGATTATAGAGCTACGGTAAATAAAAGGCCCATTGGGAATGCATGTACGACCCTCGACTGTACCAACATTGATGAAAAAAGAAAAACTTTCCCCATTGCATCATTAACCGATGTAGAATTCAAGATCAAGTTCAGGATTCAAGTCAAATCAACCTTTACACTCATCTTAGGGCGAGGCAAGGAATTGTTTCAAATGTTTGTTGTTCAATATCTCGGTTGTTCAACAGAGAAAAGAAACCATTTGCACAACACAAAACAAGTCAGAAGCCAACAATTGTTCTAGCACATATTCAAAGGGGCCATAGTTCTATCTGAAAAACCAACCATGCAAGGACATACATAGAGCAAAACAGAGAAACAAATTTTTCTTAAAGATCTATCAATAGAGGGATGTTAGGTCAACGTGCACGAAATTAACACCTATCCCATCCTCGAAAGTGATTCGTACAACTACTAAGATTAAGAGTCTGGCACTATACAGGAACGAACTAATAGGAGCAGGTTCTTTACCTTGCAACAACTACCTAACACAATTTCATCATGTTTGTTAATCATCAAAACTCAATTTTTAACACAAACTTTGACCAGTAACTACTTGATCAAAAGTTACATGAATCTATGGTACTTATTTAATTTAACCTTAGTATTAGAGACAGCTCTGTAGTTTAAACCTAAAGTCAACAATGATAGAACATTATAATAGAATCAAGTTTTTTCAATGTTGAGTACTATTACTTCAACAAATTTCAAATTACTTGCAAAAAAAAGTGACAAATTTTGGAGGATTATATTATTAAGTTTCTTCTTCATAACTTTAGCAATTACATTAAATGAAGTTGAACTATCATCATATAAATAAAACAATACATGTTCTTCAACAGAAATAGAAAGTACACAATATAATTTTCCGGCAAATGATGTTTGCCTGACCACCCTTGTCACACTGTAGCTTCGCCCCTGCGCATTGGGGGCCAAATTAGTAAGGAAAAATTAGAACATACACATTACACACTAAGAGAAAAACACAAAGAAGGTAGTAGTTCTATAAAGTATTTATTCTTAGATTAATTATCATGTATAAACTGACAAATGTTTACAAGATAGTACAAGATAATATCAAAAATGTTTTGTTAGCCAAAAACAACTACACCTATGTTGTTTTCTTATCTAGACATATCTTGATCTTCTCTTTTCTTTGAAACAAGAAAAAACAAAATACAAATACTTAGCTTATTCTCTTACAAAATCTGATAAGTACTTAGCTTATCTTAAGCTTATCCCATACAAAATCCAAACAAACAAACAAATTAAAAACTAAGAAATTAACAAAAACATTATTTTTTCTTGTGCAAGCACCTTTTGATGATGGAAGTTGAAACATGTATGGTGCCTCTCCTTGTTCTCCTTCAACTGAATGCACATTTATTTCAAACCTTAAACTTTTTTTTAGAAAAAATCATCCTAAAGCTCACATGTCATTCCAACTTTCAGCATGCGTTTCGTTGGGATATCGAATACTTTGTTACTCTGTGATCTTAAGTTCCTCTTGAGGAAATTGTATGCATAATTGATCACCAGTCGTTTGGCTACACCAGACCCCTTGCACGCGACAACGTCTTGTTCTCCAACCAAATGAACCACCCCCATGTTAGAAGCTCTCTCAAGTACTTCGACGTCTTTCTCAATTAAGGAAGCAGTCTCTCCTTGATTTCCTCCATTTGCTGCAATTGAGAACATGTAATCTTCCTTGATGAAGTTCTTTAGCCTTTCTACCAATAGTTTCTCAATTGGCTCTTCCTCATTGCGCATATCATTGTATCCATAACGTACCACACAACGGAACACGTAGAGGTCATATGGTTTCACCCTTCTGAAGAGGAACCTTTCTTCTAGTGGCACTTTGCTTATGGGAAGTGATTTGACAGAAGCGAACACGAGGACAGAGTGTAAAGCAGGTACATTCTCAACATAATGCTTGAAGATTGGTGGGATTCCGTGTACTAGTTCAGAGTAGAAAATGGCAAGACCTGGAAGGCGATGTGAACTAGTTGCATCCATTGTTTCTTTAACTTTTTCGGGAGAGATCTTGTGTTCTAGCTCGTAGTGATACTTCTTACGGTACACATAGTTCCATACGTACATGACAAACATTAGGAACATAGCGAAAGCCAGAGGAAGGTAACCACCTTGTTCAAACTTGTAAAGGACTGAGCTTAGGTATACAAGCTCAACCGAACCAATGATTAGAACATAGACGATAATAAGAAGAATGTTAGTTTTCCATATCAAGATCATGACTAGTACGAGGAAGCACGATGTTAGGAACATCACAAACACCACTGCTATTCCTGTAATCGAACAATAGAGAGATCGAGTTAATAATTAATATGGAAAATAAGGCAAGCCCCCTGCATTTACATGTTTAGTTTACACTGACACTGTCAGTGTATATAAGTTAAATCCGTAGAAGAAATAGAGTTAATTAGTAGCCTTACCATAAGCATTGCTAAGTTTTTCAGTAGTCTTGAATCCAATAGTGGTAAGAACACAAGCGATCATGAGAAGGTTATTGATTTCAGGAATATAGATTTGTCCATGATGCTTCTTTGATGTATGCACGATTTTAACACGAGGAAAGCATCCTAACGCCAGAGATTGCTGGATTATAGCGAATGTCCCGGAAATCAAAGCTTGACTTGCAATGATGGCTGCTAATACGGCTATGACAAACATTGGCCAATATATAGTCTCTGCATTTAATAAAGCAGAAAAACAAAGGAGCACGAGATGTTAATTCATTTCCCTTCATGAGAGAAACATAACTACACACAAGTAACTAACAATATAAAGAACTTTTACACTATCAATGCAATTTTACTTACTTGGTATGGACGCGTAGAAAGTATTAGCAACATCATCAGCATTTTTCATTAAATAGGCACCTTGACCGAGATATGCTAATATGAGAGCCGGGTATGTGACAAAGCACATACTTATCTGAATAGATCGAACACTAAAATGACCAACATCAGCAAATAGTGCCTCAGCTCCTGCATTTTTTTTTGTTCAAATGTCATTTATTTCTCTTCTCAATTGATACTCGTAAAAATTTCAAGGCTGTTGGAAGCAAATTGTTACCTGTTATGCACATAACAACTCCGCCAAGGGAAATCCAAGCGTCTTTTCCATTTCTTTGGAAATAGGATACGATGTACATAGGATTAAGAGCTCGGAAAATAGCTATATCATAGATCACGAAGTTGTAAACTCCAATACCAGCAATCAATACAAACCATAAACAAAGTATAGGTGCAAATGTGTAACCAACTTTTTCAGTTCCAAATCTTTGAAACATGAACAGAATTATCAAGATGGCTACTGCAAGCCAAACAATCCTGCCTGCATCCCACAAAAACATAACAAACGATGAGTAAATCGAGAATAAAAACAGATAAAGAAGTTGCAATTTTCATTAACAGATGCAAAATTTACCTTCAGTCATGGCTTCTGGAGCAGCTGCTTTAACTCCTCCAATTGCAGACAAAACTGATCACATCAATTGAAAAAATTAAAAAAAAAATTAGCTTATTAGTATCATAAACTCTGTAACGTTCTGTTAGAATAAAAGAGAGGGAAATCAACGACGTGCCTGAAATACAGG